CATAGGCAACAAAAGACTCTCATTTGTCTTTCTCTCTGCATTGGCTTTCTCTGTGTTGATGTTTCTGTGTCCGTGTTGCCAAATGCCTGTCTTCTTCACAGTCTTTGTCCCCAGCATCAAATAGGAGGATCAAAGACAACTTCTGTGAATGGCATCTACAAACACCAGCAGCAAATTGACTCAGAAACACCCCACTCTCCTATTTCTCCGGCTTACTTGTTTTGGCTGAAATACTCTGCCTACTTTACCCCTGATTCTTTGGGTGATTTGCTTGTTTGGGTTTATACTTTCAAATCAGCCTGACTCACTCTCTCCTGAATCATGGGCCTACTTGTGCAAGTACAATCTAAAACTGCTCAGCTCCAAGAGGATCCCCTTGAAGGATGTGTGCTAAGGAGGCTGCATCCTCCTCCTTCCACCTGAACCCACAGGCAGCCTGTCCTGCACAGATCAATCACTTTGCTTCCCCAACTCAAGTTATGACAGGCTCTAATAAGGCGACCCTCTCAGTGTCCTATCCACAAATATTTCTTTTTCCTTTTTTTTTTTTCTTTTTTCTTTTTTGAGTAAGTGTCTCTCACTCTGTCACCCAGGCTGGAGTGCAGTGGCACGCTCATGGCCACCACAATCTCGACCTGCTGGGCTCAGGCGATCCTTCCACCTCAGCCTCCCAAGTAGCTGGAACTACAGGCATGCATCACTACACACGGCTAATTTTTTTAAATTTGTCTTGCCAAACTGCCCACGCTGGTCTTGAACCCCAGGACTCAGGCAATCCTCTCTTGCCTCTGCCTCCCAAAGTGCTGGGATAACAGATGTCAGCCACCGTGCCCAGCTCCACAAATATTTCTATCCCTCAATGGCTTGTAAATACAACACACAAAGTCTTTCAGGATGACAAATGTACAATAAGTCTTGACCTTGGAGGTTCTCACAACACTTAGGGTCTCCAACTTACTCGGCCCATGCTGAGCCGCTCCCTTCCTGGCACCTTCCAACCCTACTTCCCTTGTACATCCTTTTCATACCTTTTCAAATGCTTAAAATAATCACCTACTGGCTAAATAGCAATGATCACTTTCTTTACAAATTTACTTCCTCCTGAAACCCTTATTCTTGATTACATGCCCATTTGGGGGCACTCACTGCCTTTATCCATGCATGTGGGGTCTGCACACTGGTAGTATTCATGCCTGAAGTGCTCCATCAAGAGCTGGACAGTTCACTAGAACACACATAGGCACTGGCACGGATAGGTGATGGATAAAAGATAAGAGAAAAATATAAAGGAAGGGTTATACTGCTCTTCTGTTCGATACAGACATTTCAATGTCACAAGAACACCTATCTAGGCCAGGCATGGTGGTTCATGCTTGTAATTCCAACACTTTGGGAAGCAGAGGTGAGAGGATGGCTTGAGTTCAGGGGTTCAAGACCAGCCTGGGCAATGTGGCAAGACCTCATCTCTACCATAAATCAAAAAATTAGCCAGGTGTGGGTGCGCACCTGTGGCTCCAGCTACTTCAAAGGCTGAGGCAGAACAATCACCTGAGCCAGCGGGCTGAAGGTGCAGTAGCTGTGAGTGTGCCACTGCACTCCAGCCTGGGTGACAGAATGAGACTCCTACTCAGAAAAAAAAAATGTATCTAATGGATACAAAGTGGACCAGGTCTCTAGTTAATACATCTGAACCCCTTTTTGTCTATGGTTGTTCCTATAGATATTAAACGTTGAAGATAAAATAAAATATAAGACTTTGTAAGAGTCCAACTTAGAAAAAATTAAATGCATCCATTTATGTACAATTCATTAAACAAGCACTTAATGAGTATCTATTATTTTAGGACATTTTTCCAGCTGTTGGGAATAGAGATGACACAAAGTCTCTGCCCTCAGGCATCTTTCAGTTTAGAGAGGATACAGCCAAATAACAGAGAAATCAACACTGATAACCACAAGCAAAGATGCTGAGCAGCAGGTGCGCAGGGAACACAAAGGGTCACCTGATCCGATGAGAATCCAGTCCGGATGGAGCGTTCCCAGCACCAGAGAAGAGCATATACAAAACGCCAGATGTGAGTGGGAGGAGGGGGCCCAAGGGCCTGAGGCTGGAAGGGCTGTCCAGCACCCACATATACCTCCTAGACCACCTCGGGAAACAATCCAAACACAGAGATGGAGAAGACTCAGACCAGGAAAACCCTCCATCCAGCATCCTGAGGAGTGTGGCTAATCAGGAAAGAGGAAAAGGACACAGGCTTGTGGGAGTGGCACACAGGGTCTGACCCAGCCCCAGAAGAATGGGTTCAAGAAGAAGCCGCCCCGGCTGTAGCAATGACCCGAACAGAACTGTAAATGGGTAGAACAGGACATGTTCAAGGCAAGATTAAAGCAGAAGACAGAGCAACAAGAGAAGAAAGACGGAAGGAAGGTGGTGAAGGGGCTAATCAGCATCAAATTCAGGTAACTCTTACGTTAGTGGAATAACTGAGACACCCAAATGCACCCCTAGAGAAATCTGACAAATATGACCACATGGTGCAGTGGAAAGGACCAACAGAGGAGTCCAGAGACCTACTGTTGGTTGGCCGTGAGATAATTTTTCTATCAGGTGAGGTGGGTGAACATGGGCAGTATCCATACGTGAATTGGAAGACAAATTTAGCAGCTCACAACCATCCTTCTTTTTCTTCTTTTGTTAAAACAGAACATACTCTGGTATATGCATTATCCACAGGAGAAAAAAAACTGTTTTGTGAAGCATTTGCTTCAAACATGTAGATCCAAGTATGCATGCACTTGATCAAGATATAAAATGTGAGCCAGTCTCAGTGGCTCAGCCTGTAATCCTGCGCTTTGGGAAGCTGAGGTGAGTGGATTGCCTGTGCCCGCAGGTTCAAGAACCGCCTGGGCAACTTGGTGAGACCTCATCTCTACAATAAATCAAAAAATTAGCCGGTGTGGTAGCGCATGCCTATAGTTCCAGCTACTTGGAAGGCTGAGGTGGAAGGATCGCCAGAGCCCAGCAGGTCGAGGCTGCGGTGGCCGGGAATGGGCCACTGCACTCCAGTCTGGGCGACAGAGTGAGACTCCAACTCAAAAAATAAAAGAGATGTAAAATGTGGTGCTCACTGTGGGGTCACAGTCCAAACAGTTTGAAAAGCACAGGGGATTTGTAAGATTTCTTCAAATTCTAAGATTCTCACTTAGCCTTGAAATTCTAACCTATTTTACAGGTGAATGCATTAGCTTACATATGAGTTCTGGCATAACATTAAAAAGGGAGGCAACATTTAGATACACCATCAGATAGTTCAAAATTTAACAGTATTCAAAACAATGCCCCTTGATTCTAAATATGACAAAAAAAGTTTCCAGGAAATAACATCACCTCACATATGAAGCAACACAGACACACCTGCATGTTCAGGGCAAAGGGTCAGACCTGTGAAAGACTTTCACTGTAATGCAGAAATACACACATAGGAGCAATGTGCCACAGAAATGTTTAAATAAAATTTACTCAAGGTAAGACTTTCATGCTCCACTTTAAAAAGATCTAATGCCAACTTCATACTTAATGCCTTTGCCAACAGCAAATTCTAGTCATCTATTGATTGTGTGTGACACATACTTTTGAAACCCTTTACTGGAACAGGTGGCTTTTAACTACTTTCGGATTCTGATCCAATATAATCTGCATATGATACATTCTCATCTGCCTAAGCCACTTTTGAAAAGCTATAATCCAAATGAGGACATCCCCTTCAGGACTTCAGGAGAACGTAAACATGCAACGTGTATTCAATACCAAGTACTTCCCTGTTGGACAAGACATTTTCCCAGACAGGCCAGGGGTAATTTACGAACATATGCATGAACACAAATGGCGGGGTGTGTGTGTGTGTGTGTGTGTGTGTGTGTGTCTCATTAACATCAGTGATGTGCACATGAGCCAAGCAAATAGGTTTTAGATAAAAACCATATAAGGTCCACAGCGACAATAATCCCAAACGTACTTATTCTGGGGACTCTTTCATCTAAAGAAATCAAAACTCCTTAGAGACAAGACCTCAGGAATTTTCACCATCACTGCCATGAGGTAGGTGGTGATATCAAGATATCAAGACTCGAGCACAAACAGGTGACCTTGCATGCTCACTTACCAGACTTCTGTCTAACTGAGAAGGAAACTCAGGTTTTTTGTATGTTTGTTTGTTTGATCAGGTCTAATCCTTAAACCATGCCCTAGTTTGTGACTGATTCGTAAAAGGCCCTCAGTTAAACACTTTCCAGTCCTTTGTGAATGCTAATTCAAGGTCAAGAGATTGCCCAAACCCTCTAAGATTCAAACTTCTCCTGGGCTGCTACTGAGGCTCTGTGGAAGGTGCCAGGTCAACAGCCGCCAGCTAACTTCCTGGCCACGGTGCCAACTACTCTGCCACATCAGGAGGCAAAATCCTCGACCCTCCAGCTGCCTCCAAGGTTGCCCAGACATTGTCCTGCGCACACTTTACAACCGGAAAGTCTTTTAGAGGTCATCCTGTCTCACCCACTGCCCTTACAGGGAAGGAAACTGAGGTCTAGAGGCTCAGGCGCCTTGCCCAAGGTCACTTCAGCCTGGGTGGTCAGTCCCTGATGGTCTGTCCTACAAACGAAACACGAACCAAGTTGCTTCTTTCTGCCCGGTGCTTAAGTACCCACACGGCACAGTGACCAGAGCCACAGAAGACCCAGCCGGCGGACAGGTGGCACCCAGACATGCCCAAGCAGGAAAATCCTCCGAGTCTGAGCTCTCCAGGAAGCGGAGTGCTGGCGGGGCTTTCGGTGAGGGTGGGAGCAGGCCAGGGCGGGAGAAAAAGCCAGGGGGCTCTCCGCAGGCCCACAGTCCCGGAGGAGGTGCACCTAGCCTCGCAGGCCGCCCCAAAGGCTCCCAGAGACCTCCCACCCCGCCGGCCCGCCAGCCGCCGGCCGGGCCTGGCGACCCCCGCCGGGCTCACCGGGTGCGCAGCGCCTGCCACGCGGCGTCGATGTCGGCGTAGAGGTTCTTCTCGGAGGGCTTGCCCGAGCTGACGCCGTAGCCCGAGTAGTCGTAGGAGAAGATGTTGCAGTTGATGCGGGAGCCGAGGCCGATGTAGAAGCTGCACATCTGGCCCAGGTCCACGGCGTTGCCGTGCGAGAAGAGCAGCGTGTAGCGGCTGGAGGGCGCGCAGCGCACGAACATGCAGCCGAGCCGGTTGTCCCGGGCGGTGCGCGAGAAGAAGACCTCGACGGCGTCCAGCTCGCGCTGCGAGTACTGCCAGTCGGCGCGCTCGCTCAGGTGCAGGCTGCACGCGCCGGGGCCCGCGCCGGGGCCCTCCTCGGGCTGCTGCGGCGCCGCCTGGGCCGCA